GGTGCGGCCCCTGCAGGGCGGTGTCCGCGTCTGAGGGCTGCGCGGGGAGGGGGCGGCGAGGAGGGAGGCCGTGCTTTGTGCGAAAGAGAAGGAAGGAGGAGATGCGGTGTTTACGGGGGACTTCCTCAGGAGTATCAGAATGTGCCTGAGGCGCTCAGGAATTTCCAGGAGAAGTTGTTTTTCCCCACTTATCGTTTTTATTGTGGAAATGCTGCAAGGACGCAGCTAAAGATTGGCTCTCCAGAGCCTGTTCGGCGCTCACCCTTTGAACTGGTATTCGGATGAATAGCAAAACAAATCGAAGCAATAAGTTTCACGAACTTTCCCACGCAGACACATTGCCTATACCTTTTAATGGCGTTTTCCATCATAAAGTAGCATGGAGAGTTCAAAAGAGGGTATTCTGCAAGAATTTTGAGTAGAATAAAGCACAGTTAAGCACATGCATTAAAAATTTTTCCTTATCTGAAAAATTATGTCAGGAGAAGCAGCATAATAAAAACCTACCAATAAAGTCAACGTGTCTTTAGTTTTGGTTATCTCTATCCTCTCACAGTATCAGTAACTATTTTAGTATGATGACCTAACCTAAGCAGGAGTTGGCACTTAGCCACTTTAAAAATATCTTTATTATGCTGTGTAAAGGAGTAAACTAGTTTATGTGGTTTTACTGAATCACTGGAAGTTTAGTGTTAGCTGCTAATTTAATTTCTTTATTTTACTGTACAGTTTCTGGAAAAAAAAAAAAAAAAAAAAAAAAAGACAAAACCCAAACCCCAAAAAAACTGAGTTTCAGACTGGCATATTTTATTTATGCAAAGGTTTAAAAACCTGTTTGGTTAACTAAAGAGAATTTTCCTAATACATAGAGAAATTCCCAATAGGTCTAGAAATGTTCTGACTGCTACTGTGTGCAGAAGTTGAAACAAGTTTTTAGATCATTCCTGCATCTCTGTGAGAAGGTAGATGCCTTTACAGAAAGTTTATTGAAAATCTCAGCAGTCTCCAGATATTCTTTGCACTGAGGCCAAACCCAACAATTTCTCGTCTTCCTTCTCTCAATCAAGTAAACCACCCAATTTCATTTTTTATTTAAAATAAAATGCTTCATATATGCTGTTTATTCTCTTGCCCATTACCCACAGGGTGAGAGTATCAAGAGACAGAC